TCTTCCGAAGCAAAGCAAATTTTGTTATGAAAAAATGTGCAAATCAAAACATTATACCAAAAGTAAACGGCCAGGCACAGAAAAATCAGAAATTAAAAATTCCATTGTTGATGCGCATACATATAATTGCTTAAACAAAAGCACGCACAACCATATACATATATTTCGCCTATAGCACTAATGCACCTATGCCTAGGTTTGTAAAATACATTCTATTATCGCATACATATGTTCATAATGCGTAGTCCTAGTTGCGCAAACTTAAGTAAATGTATTCGTTTCAGTTCTTTTAATCTCTATTACTTCCTTGAATTGCATTTGCCTATATTTCGATTTCATCATCTACTACTTAATAATTTTGTTGCGCAAATATTGCTAGCGAAATTGCCTATCTTATATATATATATATATATATATATATATAATAATTAATTTTTTATCATAGAAGAAATAAAAAATAGAAAGCAAAAAGATACATAAGCACACCATAGAATATAACAACAATTTAGAAAAGAATATTTTGATTCAATGCACACCAATGTTACTTATATTTTTTCCTTCATATTGTGTTACATTTAGTAATTAAAAAAAACAAAATTATGTATTTTTTTAAGCTTTCTATAATTTTAATACAAACAATATGAAATACAATGTAATTAATAAATCTTATGTAGAAGCATTTATCGGGTGTCAGTATTATCATTTAAGTATATTGTTTCACACAAACTTTCGCGATAAGAAATTCAATCTTTCACATTTAATACTTTGAAAAAAAATCTGAAAAAATCCCGAAAACGTTTAGATTTACATTAGCGTTTCATTCCACTTTTTTCTCTTATTTTCGGACACGAGTATTCATAGAAATTTCTCTCATAGTTACCAAAATTAAAAATGCCGGCGCAACACCTTGGTGGTGTCAAGTAAAGAGTACTCAACGAAATTTGAGTAGAATTGATTTAAAAGATACTCTTTCTAACTAAATGGAATTCAGAATAGGAATTGAGTAGTATATGCGATTGCTAGTGTAAAAAATTGGTCTTGTAGTGGTTGAATAAAAAAATATGATTATCAACAAAAATGTTTAGATTCGCAGTGTTTGAATAAAGTGAAAGTTCGTTTGTTTATTATATTCTGGGTTGTCGTTTATATTCATGCCAAATGTTAACTAATGTAGCGTGTATGAAGCATAGAATTAAATATTTTGAATAAAGGTATAAACTATAACTTTATCATCTTAATAATGCATGTGA